ACAGTGCGTTCCCGCAAGTTTCGGGGGTCAGCCTGCTGGAGCAAAATGGCTCGAGGCGCCATCCAAAAGAAGGCCCACGAAACTTCGGTCTTTTTTTGGCGCGCAGTGCGTTTCACGGCTTGGCAATGGAAGGGTCAAAAATACTGGTGGTTTAAGATTTAAGCTAGATTAAGCTTAGATTACCTGATCGGACATCCGGGACCCCCCTGACCGTCCCGGGCTGTCCGGTCGGACAACCGGTCGGACATCCTCCCTGCGCAGTCTGTCCGAGCACGAACGCCAAAAAACAACAAAAACACAGCCCCATCCAAAACAAGGCCCACAAAACTTCGTCTTTTTTTGGCGCGCAGTGCGTTTCAAGGTTTGGCAACGGAAGTGCCAAATTTAAGATTTTAACTTCATTTAAGGCAGGTATGGAGGAGCAACCATCGGAACATGTAATGCAACTCAATAAACTTAAGGATCCACACCCACAATTGTGGCACACATCCACCTCCCCACACGAACACACATGTGCACGTATATACTAACACCCGCGCGCGCACAAACTAAGATTTCGGACAGATATGGAGGACCAACCATCGGAACATGTATTGTGACTAAATAAACGTTCACACCTCCACACGGATGTGCACATATACACACTCACACCTGCACATCATGCACACATGCACGCAAAAAGGACACAGCATACACACAGTGTAGCAAGGGCTGCAGGACCTTCAACCATTCATAAGAACGCAAAATAAATTGACCATCGACGTCATCACCACCTTCCTTGGAATCATCAGAATATGATTCTCTCCTCATCCTACTTCTCGACTATCTAGAGCTTCAATTTTATGGATTTGATCCATTTATATTTAGGCACTGGACGCGCGCGTAGAAATCTCACCCCGTCATTACTACCACCCTCGCCAAACCCCACACCAGCATCCTTATGGAAATTATGACATTGCCACAATCTTCACTATCCTAAATTCTCTCTCTCTCTCTCTCTCTCTCTCTCTCTCTCTCTCTCTCTCTCTCTCTCTCTCTCTCTCTCTCTCTCTCTCTCTCTC